GAAGTGCAACTGGCAGTAACTCAGATGAGTTGAAGTACACACAGCTAGTGTCGGTTCAAATAACAAATTGTGAAGATGCAAGGATAATCTTGCTAGTGCTACGTGCGCATGGATGGCGAGAATTGAAGGACCTTAACTGGCAATAACTCAAATGAGTTGAAGGACCGTAATATTACTATAAATTGACATTTTGTAAGTTCAAAGCTATCATTTGATAGTGTTGGAAACAACATCCGTAATTAGAACATAAAACTCCATCTCTCATAAATATAATGGGAGAAAGAAACTGAAAAAATGTAATTTTTTTCTAGCTATAGTTAGTTTTGTTGAACGCGCGCAATTTTTCGTTTTCACGTCCATTTATTGCCTGTGTCGTGCGTGAAAGGGAAAAGACAGAAAAAACTACATAGTATGAGGGGGAAAATGCAAAATTCATAAAACCAGAAACAAAACCGCTTCAATGGTTCTGCCCACGCGCAGAGCGCTTCCGAAGTGTTCGCTGGTTCCCTTATGGAAGGGGTAACCCTTGACTAATTGCTCTTGGCCTCCTCCAAAATGAATATGACCATTTTTCAGCTAAAATTAGCCTTTCTCTCTCAATTTTGTTTGCTAAATGTTGGCACTTGGTAAATTGAGAAACTTAACAAAAATCCCATTACTCAAAATTACGATCTGACGATAACTTCCTTTATTGCTACGCAGGACAGTAACTCATTATACTGTGCGACAGCATTTTATCAACCCTCAGAAGTACATTAGGCAATAATAACTCACATGAGTTGAGTGCCAGAAAATATGATCCAATCTGACTCCCTTGAAGTGATATCAACGCTCAAGAATGAAGGATTTATGGCATCGGCTGCAGTTCCTATTTATGAAGATATTTGATTCAGGGTAGTTCTTTTGTAAAAGTGATTTACCCGTTCTGTCCTAGAGATGCAAGCCTTGTAGCCCACACTTTGGCTAAGGACTGTGGGATGGAGAATATCGTTTGCGTAGATGATCCTCTTTGCTCTATAATCTCTTTAATGATAGATGATGTAATTAAGTTTGATTTAAGCAAGAAAGGAGCCATGATGGCAGTAACAAAAAAATCACATGAGTTGAAGCACGCACAGGAACAGCTAGTGTCGGTTCATCCAACAACTTGCCTAGATGACAGCCAAATCTTGCTAATGGTATGTGCGCATGGATCACGAATTAATTGTATAATCCTTTTGATGTCAACACTCAACACAGAACATGCATGGTGCGTGATTAACCTAGTCGTACTACAAAGGAAGGGTAGATAGTACATAAACCTGCATAGTTACTGAATGAAAAAGATATCGAGATCTTGTATCATACCTTTTATTGCAAGCAGACCTTTATGATAAAATATTTTCTCCTCTGTTTGGGTTTAGAAAGTAAGGTAAGACACTTGAGCGATGCGCTAGGCAGAAACTATTGTAGTACTAACTACTTTCTCAATAAACTTACTCGCCTGAAACTGCAAATTCCCACTGGGAAAACATGGCAATACGGCAATGTGCTAGTTTTTGAACGATATATACACTTCTAGTGTGTAGTTTATATGCTTCATACAGAGTAATCAAGGGGACATGTGATCACGTGAATGATTTGATTTTGGCTGACAACGCTTGGTGAAAGTGGGCCTGACTCGAACCGATGATCTAAGAGGTGTCACTAGTAGAAAACGGAGCTTTAAAACCGGTTTGTAAGGGCCTTTAGTGCCCCCTTTAGTACCGGTTCGGCACGAACCGGCGCTAAAGTGCCACCACGTGGCGTGAGCTCGCGCCCTGGTATGGGGGACCTTTAGTACCGGTTGGTGTTACCAATCGGTACTAAAGGTTTTTTTTGTATTTTTTTTGAAAATTTTGGAAATTTTTTTTATTTTTTTTCGATTTTTAATTTTTCTGAATTATTTGATGATTTAGTCTCTAATCACCTCTCTTAACTACTCAAGTGTGGATCACTCATTCCAAATCATCTAATTTCCCGACCGGTCACCCATCCCTCTCACTACTCCAGCCCGAGCACGCTTAACTTTCAGGTTCTATTCTCCTTTGTTTCCGAGTCTGCACTTGTTGTTTTCCTGACAATAGTAAGATGTCAATCCTATTAACCCTCAGGAGTTTAGCTTGAGCATGAAGTAACACATTTCACCGTTTGAGTTTGAAACTATTATTCTAAAAAAACAGTAATTATTTAGTAACACTAATATTTCTTGAATAAGTTTGACCATACTTTGACCACAGTTTGACCATAGTTTGACCAGATTTGACCAAAATTCAAAAAATTGAAATAATTATTTAGTAACACTAATATTCTTGAATAATTATGTAGTAACACTAATATTTCTTAAATAAGTAGTTTGACCATAGTTTGACCACAGTTTGACCAGATTTGACCAAAATTCAAAAAACTGAGATACTTATTTAGTAACACTAATATTATTGCGTAATTATTTAGTAACACTCTATATTTCTTGAATCAGTTGTTTGACCGGTTTGACAAGATTTAACCAAAATTCAAAAAAACATAAATTAGAGCATATCTTTTTTTCCTTTTACAATTTTGTCATTTCAAAAATTGTCCTAAACCCTAAACCCGGGACTTAAAACGTCGGAATCTCTATGCTAAACAGTAAAAACTAAGGGTTAAACCATAAAACCTAACCCTAAACTCTGAAATCTAAACCCTAGCACTAAACGCTAAAAACGTCTAAAAAACGTCTAAAACGCCCAAATACTCTATTTTCCCTTTGGAATTTTGTGATTTTAAAAAATTGTCGAAACGGAAAATAGGTTGTTTCAGCGGATCAACCCTTCTGTTCTGCAAATTTTGATATATTATATGTATTTTTCTGAATTAGGATGATTTAGTTATGATTTTTTCAAGTTTGAAAATTGCCCTATAGTCCCGGTTTGTGACTCCAATCGGGACTATAGGTTAGACCCCTTTAGTGCCAGTTCGTGACACGAACCGGTACTAAAAGTTGGCCCTTTAGTACCGGTTTGTGCCACAAACCGGGACTAAAGAGGCTCGTGGGGCCCTGGCCTGACGCCAGCCTGCCACCACCCCTTTAGTACCGGTTCGTGCCACGAACCGGTACTAAAGGTTCAACACGAACCGGCATTAATGCAAGTCCGTTTGAACCGGCACTAATGATACCATTAGTACCGGGCCAAAATCAAATCGGCACTAATGTGCTTCACGTTTGACCCTTTTTCTACTAGTATGTGTCGATCCCACATAGCCTCGTCCATTCAACCGTAAATATAGAGTAGCCCAGGCCCTATGTAACCAACGTCCAATCGTCTGCCGTATCTGCCGTAGTTAATGCAATTACACGGTACAGTAGACGCGTGGGGCACCGAAGCCTTCATTATAACTAGTAAGAGGAGTCGTTGGTACATGGCTGAAATTTTTGGAACATGCCTTGATTAGGTGAGGTCATAAACCGAAGTGACATTTGACATGTACTTTCACCATTCCGTCATGTTCCCCCTCCGGCACTGCTGCCACACAAAGTTCGAGCATGTACCGTAGTTTGTCTACCCACTTAGAGCACGTAATAACCATAATCAGCGATAACACATGAAAATTCAAACTGAAAGCCAACCTCACGCGCTTGCAGCATCGAGAGAACGTGTTCTAGCAGGCGCCAGGACAGGAGGGCGGAGCATCTTCAGGCGGAGCTCTGGATCCGAACCCACAGGAGCTAGTGTTGTTAACGCTACAAGGGTTGGACATACCTTTTTATGATTTTCTTTGTGGCCTTCTATTTTATTATGGTATTTAATCCATCAAATATCTCCCAATCGTGTGCTGCACATCACTTGCTTCATCGGATGTGCACGTGTTTCTTGGGTATGCAACCACAAGTTGATCTATGAAACAAATACTTGTGGGTGAAAGGCCAGATGAGTAGCGTTGAGTATGGTCTCTAGAAATGTGGTGGAGCTGATATTTAGCTGAGGTTGTGGTCCATATTTAGCTGATATTTAGTTGCTCTCGGCCTCTTCCAAAATGACTGATAATTTCCCAGCAAAAAATTGGCCTTTTTCTCTCAATTTCCTTTTTTGCCAAATATTAGCACTTGGTAAATTGTGAAACGTAATAAAAAAGCCCAACTATCAAAATTACAATGGGACAATAACTCCTTTTGTTTACTGCCATGGGACAGTAACTCATGTCACTGTGTGCAGCGGCAGTTTATCAACGCTCAGAAGTACAACATGCAATAACTGACATGAGAGTTGAAGTACGCACAGGTAGTGTCGGTTCACCTAACAACTTGCCTAGTCGACAGGCAAATCGTGCTACCAGTACATGCGCATGCATCACGACTTAATTGTATAATCGTCTTGAAGTCAACACATAACATGCATGGCGCCTGATTAGTCGCAGTAGTACTACAAAGAAAGGGTATATAGTACATAGCCTGCACAATTACCTAATGAAAAAGATATGGAGATCTTGTACCGTACACTTACTGCAAACGGACCTTTATGATGAAATACTTTCTCCTCTTTTTGTGTAGTCCATATGGTTCGTGCTGAGTAACGAAGGAGATATGTGATCACGTGAACGATTCGATTTTGACTGACAAGGAGATACTACGTAATCAGGGAGATATAGTATTATAATAGGATAATACTTGAGCGGTCATGAATGAATCGCAGAACCTACTTGAAGTGACGAAGTTAACATGTACGCAAAGGTGCATACATACTCCATGGCTAAGTAACTTGGCGATAAATAGACCTACAGTAGCATTGCATATATGTGGTATGCCTATAAAAAGAGCATCGCTCTGCTCTCATCTGGGCACCACACATTCTCACCTCCAGACACCCATCAATCTCCCTAGCTACCCAGCCCAACCACTACCTCCTTCGTCCAACGAACAATGGCTACATCCGGGCTCAAGAGTCAAGACGGCGGCCATCTGCGCCGTGCTGGTCATCTTCCTGTCTACCGTGGGGCAGCCAGCGATGGCCGACATAATGGACGGCCTAGCTTGCCCTAGTGCCGAGACGCCATGCCGCGAACGATGCAGACTTGTCTGCGATTTCTTTGGCAGGGTGATGTGCAACCCTATCTGCTCCATCACGCCGCCGGAGCTGGTAGCGTTGGACCACACCTGCGTGAACCAGGCCATCGGCCCTTGCCTGACCAGCTGCAACAGGTTGTGCGAGGCCCTCTTGGTTCACACGAATCCCTGATTGCCACCCGGCGGGGGAACGCCATTGCCGGCCATGCGTGCCAGTCACTACTTCGAAGTTTATTTACCAGTACCTGAAGCGAACATGATGGAAGTACTGTATGTATGTTGGTATGCATGGTCATCTATTTTCCTTTCCTTCCACAGTTATTTATTTCTGTCACGCATCACCGGTTGTGTATCCATGCATGGATTGACAATGGTGGTACGTGTATTGTTGGTACGTGTATTGTCATGTTACACAATGTTTTACTAATATCGTTACCAGTAGTGAGTGGCGTCCCTTGCCGCGTGTTGCAAGTGTGTATGAAAAAAGTATTACAATGTTGAAAATAAAGTTAGCCATTTCGGCTGAAGTGCTGTGTCTGACGTGGCTGGCAAATTTCGATGATCAAAACATAGCCAATGCTAGCATGCTTATGTTTCTTAACCTACTTTCTCTTGCTCGCTCGCTCGTTTGCTTAACCCATATTTTTTTCTTCCATATGCCTCCCAACCAGGAGCCGGGGTCCATTATATATATAACGGAACAGTTGATGTTCATAAGAAAATAAAAACTGAAACGAAAAGAAAAGAAAACTAGAGAAAACGAGAAGGCATCTGAGAATGCAACATAAGAACTGGGCAACGCAGAGGAATGCCAAATAACAAGATTAACCATTCACGTTACCGATCCACTTGTCACTCCATTTTTCCACCTGAAGGAACGGACATCCACGTCGTTTGCATGGTCTCCATGAACCCCTCCAGGGCCGGCCCTGAGGGGGGCAGAGGGGGCGGCCGCCCCAGGCCGCCGAGTACGAGGGGCCCCCCTGATGGCCTGGTTTCTGTGCGTACGTGATGTTCAACCATGTAACAGATCGATCTGCCCTAAAAAAATAGCAACAGATCGTTCTATTCTCACCGAAGGGAAAAAAGATTACAGATTGATTTATTTCTCGGCTTATGGCACGCGCAATATTCTCGTCATTATTCCATCTCTTCCCCAATTTGCAACAAATCAGCCTAAGACTCAGCCTTCCGAGGTCGACAGCGCCCCACAGATATGTATGAGGACGTCTAATTGAGATTTCCGGCTGCAAGGTGCAATTAGTGGAAGAAGGTATTGTGCGATTTTGCAGATTGTGATCAACTTCTTCAACACAAATCCCCTCTTTTATATAGTCTTGTGAGATCATTCATTCATTCATTCATTCATGAAGATCATCCACATACATATCTCTTTCTCACTCTGATTTCATGTTTTTCATTTGGATTCGAAAATTGGAACTCAGATGAATGTTCGTGACTGGTAAAGCAGCAACAAAATTTTGCAATTTCTATTTTTCTAGCCATCCAGGTATCTTGTTCCGTACCTTTCTTAGCATTTTTTATTTGATTAGCAGTGTTCTTAATTTCTTGTATCATATGTTTGTGTGTTAATTAGCAAGATTGCTAGTATACATCTGGTAATGAGAATGAAAATTGGCATATGGCTTGGCTGAGTCCTTGAAAGGAGCATAGACATTTTGTTAGAACACACACGAGTACTTCTACTGCGTGGAAATAGGAATTCAGAAGAACTAGCTTTAGTTACTGCAGGAACAACCTAACCTAAAATTATAGGATGATAATATATTGAGTAAGCACGAAACTGTTATGTATTCACCTAATTAAAAAACATGCTGATTGACGACAACTTTTACTCTATATGTTTATGAACCTACTTTTTTGAATAACCGAGATGATAAGGCAACAAAATTATAGTGTATCAAGTATTTATTTGCAACTGAAATAGAAAAAAAGTACTCATATGTTTATGTGACTTTAGGGATTAGGGCCGCGCTTGTTCGACGAAATGCCAATACCGACGCCCACGGCCAACGACCCTGAGTTCGTGGCCTTCATATAGAATGTCATCTTCGAGGGTCGTGGTCAGGCCTTCCACGTCGATGGCCACGCACAATCTATTGATTGTGACGCCACCCAAAGCCAGGACGGACGTGGCCACTATGAAGACACTTGTTTCACCGGCCATGATGAAGGTGAGGATGGTCATGGCAACTCTTGGCATGAAGATGATGACTTGTATTGTGAGCCATTGGTGTTTGTCGATGAGCTTGCCCAAAGGGCCGAGGCACAAAAGAGGAGGCAAAGAATTCGCACGGGATCGTACACCCAAGATGAGGACACTTTGATTTGCGAGAGTTGGATAGAGATAGGCCAAGATCACACGAAAGGTGTCGAGCAAAAAGTATCTGTCTTTTGGTCAAGAGTTCACAAGAAGTTTCATGAGCGAAGGAAGTTTGCCCCCTTCCAATTTGCTAGCACCCGCGGCATCAACTCAATCCAAAAGAGATGGGGGTTCATCCAACAAAAGTGCAACAAGTATTGTGTCGCGCTTGAGAGCGTCAAGGCCTGTCCCGTGAGCGGCTTAGACCTTGGTGACTTGGTATGAACCTCTCATTTTTTATCATGTGTCCATTCATGTTGGCATGCCATTTATGTTTGATGCATTTTGTGTCCTTTCATGTTACAATTGTGGCCGCATCTTTGATTGTGTAGGCATTTCAATCTTTGAAGGCTTTGAAGGCCCGGCACAAGAATAAGCCGTTTATTCTCACGCATTGTTGGGCGCCGTGGGGAGAGGTTGACCTTGGTTGGGGGCGACGGTGTGGTGTCGACGAGGCTAAAGCACTACGCACAGATGCATGACCCTACCGCCTAACAGTGCGGCGGTAGTTTATTACACCCTACCGCCAGATAGCTGGCGGTATGGCCGTTAGGACACGTCAGCAACAATAAAGTTAGATGGCGCTCGACGGTAAGCTATGCAACCCTACCATCAACCTACCCGTTGATAGGAAAAGGGTCAGATCCTTTTTTTATACTGGAGTCATATTAGGATGAACTTAAAAAAAAATCAAAACATCAAATTTGGCCGCGTGGGGTAGGTGGCGCTCGCTCGCACGCTGGCTGGGACCTCAATCAATCAATGAATCAATGAAGCAGAGCTCACTGTTCTGGACAGAGACGGCGATGTGGCCGAAGGGAGCCTACCACCTTTGGCTGATTGATTGGGACCTCAGCCCTCGTGAAGCTAGGGACCCTTGGTCGGCCACCTTTGCTCTGCTCATCGCGGACGCCACCGAGATTATATTCACCCTTCCCGTCTGCGGCTAATTGATTACCTCCTCTTTCGCGTTCCCGTGCCTCCTACCCTGGGTCACCACTCTGCTCACACTCTCTCTTTCTCTCCGGTCTACGCCGCCGCCGGCCGTGCCGCCGTGCACAGCGCGACCGCTTCCCCCGACGTTGCCGGAGCCGCCATACAAGTAGAAGAAGGTGAGGACCCCCTTCCTCTTATCTTCGTCCTAGTTGGTGGACGTGGATCCTAGGATCTGATATTATTTTTAGAGCCTTGGTTTGCAGTACAAATTAAGCTCAGATATTATTTCTGTGAGTAACAAAGTTTTTTTTTCTGCAATATAGGAAGGAGACGGCGATCTCACGCAGCATCAGCCCAACAATCACGCAGCATCAGTACCTATAGGAGGGTTCATCAATGACTGCCGGATATAGATGATATCTCTCGCTCCCCAGATCTGGACCAAGGGTCTCACTCACTCCTCGCTGTTACTTCTCACAGAGCACGGGAGATCTAGCTAGTTTTTCCCTCCGGTCGATCCAAGGTAATTCATCGATTCCAGCTCCACCACACTACCATAAAATTGACCATCTCCTCAATTTAGCCAGCACTTTCTTTTGTGTGCAAGCCACACTTTCCCTTTACAAGGAATTGTTGGTAGTCTTTGCTGAGTGAATCTACATGACTATCCTTTGTTTCCGTTTTTTAGCATTGTGACCACTGACGTGTGAAAGGTAGTAATAAAGAGGACTCATTTTGTGTGCATCCTTGTTTTCAGTTCCAGCTCAAGCCAGTTAATCCTACAACTACTTAGCTTTTACTCTGAAGCAAAGGGCCAACCAAGATCATCTCTCATCTCTCCAGTCGATTCAAGGTACTTAGCTGATTCCACCTACACCACACTTACTCTAGCTATGTTTCTCTCTCTGAAACAAATTATCTTGTGTCCTTCCGTTTGAATTGTTGGTGTTTGTTCTAAGGTATATACTTCTATTGAAGCCAAATTTGTGTGCACAGTTTTCTATTTTGCAAGCCACATTTTTCCCTTGGGATTTGTTGCTAGTCTGTAGTAACTGAATCTAATTATCCTTGATGTTAGCTTTGAATTGTTGATGTGAAAAAGCGAGGTAGTAATATAGAGCACTAATTTTTATTTGCATGCTTGTTTTCAGTACCAGCTCAAGCGTGAGCTAACCCTGCAACCAATGGCGGGCGTTCTGGATGCTTTGGCATCTTACGTGACCAGCATGCTTGCCGAGATGGCCAAAGAGGAGGTGGCCATGCTAATCGGCGTATCCGATGGGATCAAAGACCTAAGCATCAAGCTTGGGGACCTCAAGAATTTCTTTGCTGATGCTGATAGGAGGAACATTACCGGTGATAGTGTGCGGGGGCTACTCTTCTGTCGCCACACCATGGAGGCTCCTCCTCGTCTTCAGCGGTGCACTCCCTTGTACGTCTGATGCCGAGTCCAGAGGAGCCGCTCGGTTTCCACGCGCCTGATGTTCTGGTTGAGCCTATGGATGAGGTGTGCAATGTTGTTGCGAAGGTGGTGCAAACTAAAGCGGCACCACTATCTCTGGAGGATTTTCTCAGCAAGGTTACTTGTTCGCTCCAACAACCTCTTCTTGGGACCCCTGTGCCTTCGCATGGAGAGAAGAATGGCGGGCGATGGAGCGGGCGTCTGGATAAGAAGAACAAGGCGTGCAACATCCCGACATCCAAGCGTGCAGAGTATAGAATGTTGGAGGCTTTTGATGAGTTGCCGGAGGTCAGCAAAGCAGAGGGGCCAGAGCAAAAGATGCAAGCATACCTGGACATGTACAAAAAACCGCTCTCACCGCAAGTGATTGAGGCGTTGAGCTCTTTGGCGA